AGCGCAGGGAAATAAAGCCTCAAAACACCGATCGATAACACCTGTGGGGGTTGAGGCACAGGGAGAGACTCCCAGCTTCACAGGACAGTTCGTTGGAGAGACCCACAGGGTCCTACAACATGCACAAGCTCACCCACCTGGGAATCAGCACTAGAAGGGCCCAGTTTGCTTGGGGGAAGCGGCAGAGGGGACTGAGATCTGACAGAGAGCGGAGCAGGTGCCATTTTTCCCTCTCGGACACCTCCCCACATACAGTGTCACAACCCAGCCACTGAGTTGCCCGACCCTGGTGAACACCTAAGGCTCCACCCTTCATACATAACAGGCGTGACAAGACCAAAAAAAATGGCCCAAAAAGAACAGATCAAAGCTCCACAGCAAATATAGCTAAGTACCAAAGAGATAGCCAACCTATCAGATGCACAATTCAAAGAACTGGTGATCAGGATGCTCACAGAATTGGTTGAATTTGGTCGCAAATTAGGTTTTAAAAAATGAAGGCTACACTAGGTGAAATGAAGGAAAATGCACAAGGAACCAATAGTGATGGGAAGAAAACTGGGACTCAAATCCATGAAGTGGACCAGAAGGAAGGAAGAAAGAAACCAAACAGAAAAGAATGAAGAAACAAGAATTTAAAAAAAAAATGAGAGGCTTAGAGATCTCCAGGACATCTTTAAACCTTCCAACATCTGAATTATAGGGGTACCAGAAGGGGAAGAGGAAACATAACAAGTGGAAAAGTTATTTGAACAAATAATAAAGGAGAGCTTCCCCAATCTGGCAAAGGAAACAGCCTTTCAGGAACTCCAGGAAGCTCAGAGTGCCCCAAAGAAGTTGGACCCAAGGAGAAAAACACCAAGGCACATCATAATTACATTACCCAAGATTAAAATGAAGGAGAGAATCCTAGATGCATCAAGAGATAAGGAGGCAGTTACCTACAAAGGAATTCCCATCAGACTGTCAGCTGATTTCTCAAGAGACCTTGCAGGCAAGAAGGGTCTGGAAAGAAGTATTTCAGGTCATGAAAGACAAGGACCTACACCCAAGATTGCTCTATACAGCAAAGCTTTCATTTAGAATGGAAGGGCAGATAAATTGCTTCCCAGATAAGGTCAAGTTAAAGGTCGAGTTCATCATCACCAAGCCCTTATTATATGAAATGTTAAAGGGACTTATCTAGGAAAAAGAAGATAAAAATATGCACAGTAAAATGACAGCAAACTCACAGTTATTAACAACCACACCTAAAACAAAAACAAAAACTAAGCAAACAACTAGAACAGGAACAGAACCATAGAAAGGGAGATCACATGCAGGGTTAGCAACAGAGGAGTGGGAGGAAGAAAGAGTGGGAAAAGGTATAGAGAGTAAGTAGCATAGATGGTAGGTAGAAAATAGGAGGAGGGCAAGAATAGTATAGAAAATGTAGAAGCTAAAGAACTTATGACACATGGACATGAACTAAAAGGGGGGAATGTGGGTGGGAGAGGGTGTGCAGGGTAGAGGGGAATGAAGGGGGGAAATGGGACAACTGTAATAGCATAATCAATAAAATATATTTAAAAAGATTTTATTTATTTATATTTTAGAGAAAGGAAAGGAGGAAGAAAGGGAGAGAAACATCAATGTGTGGTTGCCTCTCATGTGCTCCTTGTTGGGGACCTGGCCTGCAACTCAGGCAAGTGCCCTGACTGGAAATCAAACTGGCCCTTGGTTTGCTGGCTGGCGCTTAATCCACTGAGCCCTTGGTTTGCTGGCTGGCGCTTAATCCACTGAGCCACACCAGCCAGGGCACAAAGAAAGTAGTCTTTTTTTTTTTAAGATTTTATTTATTTATAAAGAGAGGGGAAGGAAAGGAGAAAGAGAGGAAGCGAAACATCAATATATGGTTGCCTCTCGTGTGCCCCCAGCTGGGGACCTGGCCCACAACCCAGGCATATGCCATGACTTGGAATCAAACTGGCGACCCTTTGGTTTGCAGGCCCACCCTCAATCCACTAAGCTATATCAGCCAGAGCTACAATGCAAGTAGTCTTGAAATTCAGTCTGTGTAGAGACCTTATTAAGTTGCTTGGGATAGCTATTGAAAGTTAGATTTCACAAGATCTCACAGCTTGTTGTGAGAGACATGGTAGGAATGAGTGAGGAGTTCAGCCAAAACTTTTTATTATAGCTAAAAACCTCTGTAATATACAACTTTGACACATTCAAAAAATAACTTAAAAATAGTGACAAGCAAAATTAAAACTCAGCCATCAAATTTTGTTTTTTCCCCAATTTTCACCCAATGATCTTTCCAGTCTTGATAGTTCCTGCCCTTGAGAAGCTACCTTTAAGTCTGGTGGGAAGTCAGAATGTATGGGCAGTACCATCAGATATAAGTGAGTTCCAAAATAAAGTGTACTAGCCCTTACGGCAATGGGGGAGGGGAGCAGATGTAGTCTCTAGGCTAGAAAGGCTTGTTGGGGGAGAATATAGAGCAGTCAACAAGAAAAAAGTATGGGGACAGGCCTTGAGATCGTATGTCCCCATAATTTTTTCTGTTAACTCGGCTCCATATTTCCCCCAATAAATTCTAGCCAATCATTCTAGAAATTATTAATAAACATTATTAATAGTGCATATATTCATATCAAGTTTATTTTAAGTACCTCCTATCGTCTGAGTGGGACTGCAACTCAGGAAGTTGCAGGAACTGTCTAAGGAAACTCACATGGTCCAGTTGTCTGGGAGGCTGCAGATATATGTATATGTAAAACTAGGAGGAGCCCTGAGTGGTGTGGCTCAGTGGGTTGGGCATCATCCCACAAACCTGAAAGGTGGTGGGTTCGATTCCCAGCCTGGGCACATGCCTGGGTTGCATGTGGGTCAGATTGTGAATGTGCTAGAGGCAACGAATCGATGTTTCTCTCCCTCTGCTTCTCCCTCCCTTCCCCTCTCTATAGAAATAAATAAAATCTTTTTTTTATGAAAAAACTAGGAGGAAAATTCCAGGAGAATGACAATAGTCACTATTACCATACAGTAATGGTTGAACTCAAAGTGTGAGTCAAGTCACTGCAGTTCTGGATATATATCAAGGTCTAACTCCATGGAGATGGAAAGCAGGCCAAAATCTTTCACCTGGGAGTTGAAACTCTGTGCTCTAGCCTCAGCTCTCCCATTCACTAGCCAGGTGACTTTGGACAAATCACTCATATACTCTCAGCTTACCCATAATACAAGGATAATACCTCCTCTTACTCATAAAATAGGGATTATACCCAATTTGATACCTCAGGATTAATGAGGAGCATCAAATAAGATAAATGTTGACCAAAAGTATGACAGAGACGTGAGGCAATATCGAGGAGAGTAAGTATTTATACATTTCATTTGCATCTCAACAAACAAAAAACGAAGAAAATGCATATTAGCATTTCCATTTTACAAAAACACAGGGCCAGATGCCATCCTTAAGTCACGTAGCTAGTAAGCACCTGAACTTAGCTACACTCAACACTTGTTGGAACTTCGTGCTCATACTGCACTAATGATAATTTCATTATGTAGGGGCAAGGGAGAACTAACGTTTAAGACTGCTTATCATGGGGAGCAATTACCATGTGAGGTGACATCTGAGCAGAACCGAATGGGAGCCCAGAGACAAGGAAAAGCTGCATGTTCCCTGTGTGTCTTGGTAATTCCTGTTCCAGGAGTGCGAAGAAAGTCCCTGAACCGCCAACCCAACTTGTCCCCTTGACCATCTGGGACGGGAAAAATGAGATAAGTAAGAGTGTAATAGAGGCTGAACCTTAATGGAAAACCCCAGGGTTTTAAGAAAAGTGCAAAGTCCTGAGAGTGCGACGTATGGTTCCTTTTTACGCCTCACTGCTCACTTAACTCAGATGAGAAACAAGCGATAGAGAAAAGAATCGAGAACACAGGTTCACCGCCGGCATTTCCCCCGTTTCCACAAAAGACTACCACAACCATAATGCATCGGTGCGCCGAGCCAATGAGCCGCATCTCTTGACACAAACGTCACGCGATCCTATTCCCAGGGAGCAGTGCGAGGCGCCACCAACCCTGGAAGACTACAAGATCCAGCAGGCACTTCGCGCGCCTCCTCCGACCAGCCCAGCTCTGGAAAATCCGGCCCTGCAGTCCAGACGCGCCCAGGAGCCTTCGCAGGGCAAGATGGCTGCTTTGGGTGCCGAAGTGGAGGTGAGGGGGTGTTAGGGAACAAACGTATTGGTTTTTCTCGTCCTGGTCGCGGGTACCTTCCAGTAAATCCTTTGTCTTGGGGCAACCCTAGCATCTCGCAGTTTTACCTGGAACCTCCGAGGGGGCAGCAAAGTAAGCGCTTTCTCTGGGATACGACGGAGGTACTGGGCCAGTCCATCAGGCCTTTCTGTCCCGGCAGGTGCGACACTGAACACTCAATGCCTGTGGGCGCGGGGAGGCGTGGCCTCCCCCTGGGCTGCCACCTGTATTGGTTTCTCTGCCTGTTCACCTTAAAGCTCTGGTAAGGAGGGGCCGAGGGCATGGAAAAAGGAGGGGACGGAAGATCCAATAGTCTCTGCCCCAGAGGATGAAGAAGATCGTGTCCCTTGACCGTGTGGGTGGGGTGTTTTCTGGCGTCTGACTTTTGCCCCTTTTCCCTGTTATCGCTGCAGCCAAGCAGAGGCTCCAGTGCGGGAGGAGAAGCTGTCAGGTAGGTGATGGTCTGGGAACCCAAAGCCCCCATATGTTTTGTCGTGACATCCACCCATATACGTACAGCACAGGTGGAAAAGGACGGCGCCACGTAGAATGAGGGCATCCAGTTGTGCTGGGAAGTTGGATGGGCAGAACCCTTTGGGAGAAATATTTTCTGAATTAGTTCTGGGGCTGGCATTTCTCTCCCCTTTTAGTGAGCACCTCAAATTTGCCGTGCTGGCAGGTGGAAGAGTTTGTGGTGGCAGAAGAGTGTTCTCCATGTTCTAATTTCCAGGCTGTGAGTATCTGTTTTCTCTTCCTTTCTTTTCTCACATCTAATCAGCCCCTAAGTCTTTTTTCCCCTTTACAATACAAAAGTTTATTTAACGAAAGTTCAATATGAAAAGAGACACGACTTGATTTTTATATTGTAGAAAAACAGGTGCTGTGGAGAGGGGACAGAGGACATGTGGAAGCAATTGATTTCTCTGGTGAACACAACCATTCTTCATACTGGTCCCAAGGCTTCCGACATGATGATAATATTTCTTGGAATGGTTACCACCGTTCCAATATTGTTCTGTTGCCCATTAGTCATCACCTCCACACATTCATCCATCACAAGTTTCATGAAAGGATCAAATCTCCTCAATATTCCTTGGGCATGTCTGCCACCATTTAATTCCTTTTTCTTTTTTTATGTATATTTTATTGATTATGCTATTATAGTTGTCCCAATAGTTTTCTCCTCTTTATCCCCCTCTACCCTGCACCCTCCCTCCCACCACTATTCCCTTCCTCCTTAGCTCATGTCCGTGGGTCGTACATATAAGTTCTTTGGCTTCTCCATTTACTATACTTTTCTAAACCTCCCCCTGTCTATTTTGTGCCTACCAATTACTCTTCTTATTCTCTACCTTTTCCCCCATTCCCCCCACCTCACCCTCCCAGCTGATAACCCTCCATGCGATCTCTATTTCTGTGATTCTGTTCCTGTTCTAGTTGTTTGCTCAGTTTGGTTTTGTTTCTGTTTTTTAGGTTCAGTTGTTGATAGTTGTGAGTTTGTTGTCATTTTACTGTTCATAGTTTTGATCTTCTTTTCCTTAGATAAGCCCCTTTAACATTTCATGTAATAAGGGCTGGGTGATGATGAACTCCTTTAACTTGACCTTATGTGGGAAGCACTTTATCTGCCCTTCCATTCTAAATAATAGCTTTGCTGGATAGAGCAATCTTGGATGTAGGTCCTTGCCTTTCATGACTTGAAATACTTCTTTCCAGTCTTTTCTTGTCTACAAGGTTTCTTTTGAGAAATTAGCTTATAGTCTCATGGAAACTCCTTCATAGGTATCTGTCTCCTTTTCTCTTGCTGCTTTTAAGATTCTCTTCTTATCTTTAATTTTGGCTAATGTAATTATGATGTGCCTTCGTGTGTTTCTCCTTGGGTCCAACTTCTTTGGGACACTGTGAGCTTCCTGGACTTCCTGGGAGTCTGTTTCCTTTGCCAGGTTGGGGAACTACTTCTTCATTATGCTCTCAAATAAGTTTTCAATTTCTTGCTCTTCCTCTTCTTCTGGTACCCCTATGATTTGGATGTTGGACTGTTTAAAGATGTCCTAGAGGTTCCTAAGCCTCTCCTCATTTTTTTGAATACTTAGGTTTTCATTCTGTTCTGGTTGAATGTTTCTTTCTGCCTTCTGGTCCACACCATTGATTTGAGTCCATTTCCTTCCCTTCACTGTTAGTTCCCTGTGTATTTTTCTTTATTTCACTTTGCATAGCCTTCACTTTTTCTTCTGTTTTGTGTCCATACTCAATAATTTCTGTGAGCATCCTGATTACCAGTATTTTAAACTATGCATCTGATAGGTTGGCTATCTCCTCCTGGCTTAGTTCTTTTCCTGGAGTTTAATCCATTCTTTCATTTGGGCCATATTTCTTTGTTTCGGTGGGCCCCTTATGTTGTAAGGGGTAGAACCTTAGGTATTTACTAGGGTGGGGCAACCCACTTTGCTGCATTGTGGCACTGTATGTGGGGGTGGGGTCTGTGTCACTCTCCAGTTGTTACTCCTGGTTTATCCTCATAGGAATGTGGAACTGCCTGGTCCACCAACCGCTGCCTTGCCCACCTGGTTTGCCAGCAGCCACCTTGCCAGTTGTCCTCTCCACCTAGGCTGCCTGTTTCCGCTCCTCCTACTGGCCTGGATGAATTTTCTTCTTTAATTCCTTGGTTGTTGGATTTCCATACAGTTTGATTTTCTGGCAGTTCTGGTTGTTTTCTGTTTTTAAATTCCTTGTTTTTTTCCTTTTGGTTGTATGAGGAAGCATAGTGTATTTACCTATACCTCCATCTTGGCCGGATGTCTCTTAATGCCAATCACAACTTCTTGGCCATGAATGTATTTAAGTCTGGAGGGTGAGCTTTGTTCCAGGTGTCTACTTAACAAGTTCAAAGATATCTCCAAATGAAATGTGTGGCCCTTCTCACATTCCCACCTCAGTTTCTACATCTTATTAAATATGCTTTTGCATTGTCTTTTGTCTTTTTCCTTTGATATGTCCAAATCTGAACTTGTCTTCCCCCTGGAAATGTTCCCTTTTCTTTACAAATTAATGGCGACATTGAGCTAATAACCATGTCTTGGTCATTTTTAATCCAGTAGGCTCTAGAACCTGTCCCTGCCTCTCCTAGTCTGTTGCCTTTGAAATATTCTTTATAACACGTATTCCTAATCATACAGCCACCACCTCCACCATCCCCATTAGAACTCTTCATTAGTTGTCTGTCACCTACCAGCTCCTTAGCACTCGGTCACCTGCCCATTCTGCATGGCAGCCTTTCTGTTTCTCCTCCCGCCCCTCCTGATAACGTGCTTTGGTCCTTTTCTCCTGGCAGAAAGCCACCTCTGAATGTGGTTCCACAGGATATGTGGAGAAAATCACCTGCAGTTTATCGAAGAGGAGTGAGTTCAAAAGGTAAGTGCTTTTTCTCTTCTCTCTGTCTCTCTCTGTCTCTCTCTCTGTCTCTCTCTGTCTCTGTCTTTTAAATCTCCAACCTGTGGATATGCTTATTGATTTGAAAGAGTGGGGAAGGGAGGGAGAGAGAGAGGAGAGTCATTGATGTGAGAGAGAAACATGGGGATCGGTTGCCTCTTGTACACATCCCAACTGGGACCGAACCCATGACCTTTTGGCTTATAGGACAACACTCCAACCGACTGAGCCACACCAGTCAGGGCTGTTTTGCTTCTTGAAACCTCCTAGATCACCTTGTTTGCTGCTATGATTTTATATAAATAGTCCTACCTCTTCTTCTTGGTCTGGAGGTAGTATGGCATATTGGAAAGAAAAAGGGATTTGGAACCAAATTACTTCAACCCAAGTCCCAACCTACCCTCTCAGCACTCTATTATTGGCCTTATTTTGTCAGTAAAATTGGTTAATACCTGCTCTGCTTATCTCACCAGAAAATACGTTAAATGATACCTCTGAGTGGGATTGATGCACTGTGAACACAGTGGGTTGACTCTGATTCTCTCTTATTCCCTTGGTGTATCTTGGTTGGGCTGAAGGAGAAGGGAGGCTACAGGGAGGCCAGACAGCCTTCCCTGGAGTAACTGTTTCTTCTTACCCTCAGCTGCCGCTCAGCTCTGATGGAACAACACTTATTCTGGAAATTTGAAGGGGCTGTTGTGGGTGTAGCCTTGGTCTTCGCTTGCCTTGTCGTCATTCGTCAGCGACAGCTGGACAGAAGGGCTCTGGAAAAGGTCCGGAAGCAGATCGAATCCATATAGCTACCTTCCACCCTTTCTGTATGGGTCTTACAGACCCTACACCAGACAGAGAAAGTGGAATGGACTGACTTGTGCCCCTTTGTAATTTTTTGAGTGGGAAAAATCCCAAAAAGCCTTTCTTCTATCTTCCTTGTCTAGATGATTAATGAGCAGAATAAAAAGAGTAAACTAGAGTATAAAATATTTTTCTTCCCTACTCTGATTTGGTTTGGGGCAGGAAGTTATGAAGGCAGGGAAAGGGGGTAGCAACTTTAGACCCTCGTTTGTCAAGCACATGTCTTCCTCCTCTTCTACTACTTATTTAAAATTCTGGGATAACATTTCAGAAAAAAAAGTTTATTTCTCAGTAAAACCTTCTGTTTCCCTCAATCCTATATCCAAAGAAGAAGTAAAATCACAGATACACCATAAAAGTATTTGAGGTGCTACCTCACATAGGCAGACTCAGGATAGACATCTATGGCATCCTGATGTGATTCAGACCCCTGAGGCCAGAGAACCCTGAGTGGGAATCCCAGGGGGAAGCGGAGTCAGAGTGGAGCCCTGGAGTCCTTATGTGACTGGGTAGTGGGCTCGGAAGTATACCAGCTCACATCTCATCTGCATGCAGCACAGCTCTGGTGTGCCCACTGGGGCCTGTCTTCACTCCTATCTTCTCAAGCAGTGTCCTTGTTGATCCATTTGCACTCTTGGTCCCAGGTGGCCCTCCCAATCTGGACTCTACCTCTGGGGTCTCCCAATTTTCAGTTATGTTCTTGTGGGTCAGGATATTTCTGGAAATCACTGTGGGGTGAAGGAAAAAGGGCAGTAGTAGAGTGCTCCATTGGGTGGGATATCCTAGACAGGCCAGACCCTCCCTCGCAGCTCTTGACTACCCTGGAGAAAGCCCCCACTTGCTCACTAGGTAAAAAGATCCCTTCCCTGCCGTGGCCTCTCACCTCCATGAGGCTGGTAATGCTCGGACCCAGATGCTGGTAGGCCTTGAAAGGGGCTGAAACTAGGCAGGATGATGAGAGCCAGGGAAAAAAGAAGGATCTGAAGGAAGCAAGAAGACACTTGGACTGTGAGAACAATAAAAAAAGAGGGCAGAGTGAATAGAAGGCAATTGGAATCATTAGGGATGGGAAGATTTGTGTGGCTAGAGAGTCAAGAGTATCAGGATGGAAGTTGGGGGAGATGGGAAGTAGACTAATGGTACCAGAACACAAGTGCTGGTCTGGGCAGCTTTGTTGGAAGTTTGAGTAATGAGCATCTGCAGCTGGCGGAGCTGAGTCACCAAGGAGCTGGAAAAGAAGATTGAGTTAGACCTGGGAACCAGGGCCCGAAATTGGTGCCCGTGTGCCACACACTGCCCCCCTGACGTGCATACCATGCTTTCACTCACATGTTGTGCCTCTCCAACTCCTGGACTTTTTTCTGCAGTTCCTGGTTCTGTGCAGAACAGGCAGCCACCCTAAAGAATTTGGAAAGGTAGGACAAGGTTCTGCAATTACGTGAGTCCTCACCCTTGCCTGCCTTGGTAAGGGAGCGGTTCCAGACCTGGGCCACAGGAATCCAGAAATGTGAGTTCAAACATACCTGCTTTCTAGTCCATCGATGTACTCTTTCTTCCGCCGCCGACTGTCCTGAGCTGACTGCTTGTTACGGATTTTCCTCCTGACCTTCTTGAGGACCCTTTCCTCTGCCTAGGGCCCCAAGGTATATCAGTCCTGGCTCTTAATGCGCCCCTCACCCCAACTGCCCAATTCTCCGCTGTGATCTTGGCTCCTGAGAGGCATGGTGGAGCCATTGGGTTGAGATTCCTTTGGGGAAGGATGTTACCTTGGTGAGGGGCAGGTGAGAGGGCAGGGAAATCCCTTCCTGCCCAAGAAGACGCTTCTCCTCATCTGTCAGGAACAAG